CGCCCCTCCCGGGCCGGCCCCCCGAGCCCCTCCGCCGGGCTGGGGGCTCGCCCGGTGCTGCGGCCCGAGCCCGGGCAGGGGCTCGCCCCCCGCGGAGCAGCCCGCGGCGCTTCCCGCCCTGCCGGCCGCGGGGCAGAGGCGGGAGGTGTGAGGGGAAGCCGCCCGCGCCGCTGCGGCGGCTGCCGAGTGATTGAATCGGGCAGCACCCTCTGGGCATCCCCGCTCCATAGACCTTCCTTGGGGAAGAGCTATGGCTCCAGTTCCCCCCTCCCCATTTTTAAATGTATATTATAACCTGCAAGACAGTTTGCGATTTCGCATATCGGAATTTGGGTTGAAATAGCGCAGCACGAGGCCGCGGCAGGGAGGAGATGCCCACAGCCGCCCTGGCTCGGGAGCTGAGGCTGCTCTGGAGACGTGAGCCTCAAACGCCGCTCTGAACCGGGCCAGGCCCTCGTTTCAGCACCGCCGTGGCACCAAACCAGTGCCCGTTAACCCCCTGGCCTTGCTGCCTGCCTTCGTTTGAATGTTTTAATCAAGGATGAGGATGAAAAATACTATGGGTGTGCTTTCACTTTCTTTATGTGCAGCGCACCGTTGGCTTTCCTCCTGTAAACCTCCCGCGWTATCGCGCGGCTGTTGTGTCTCGCTTGCAAACGCTTCGGGGGAAAAGTTGAAACCTCAGTTGCTTCCATTATGTGTGTGACGGGGGGGATAAGAAAAGGCAGCTGCTCTGAAAATATTTCTTGTTATGTTAGGTAACCTCTTCTGAAACTAGAGCAGCTACTTGACAGGTCCGCCTGCCCCGGCAGCATTTTAGCTGTCAGAACACTTTTTTTTTTTCCCTTCTCTTTTTCTCCTCTGTTTCTTCTAAGACGTTTTTATTTAGCGACACAGACTAATTCCATTTGTGTTTCTTTGCTATAAATACGAATGGTCTGTGTTACCTCATATGTACCTCCATGAGGTAAACAGTGCCCATAGTACTTTTGACTCCTTCACTCTCTGCATTCTTCCTTTTTCCATAAATTTCTTGGATTTGAGACATGTTGTCATGAAGTACCTCTCTTGGTCTTCTCCTTTCTCTCACTTGGATGCCTACCTAGCYCTTTCCTTGTTAGATATTTTATACATACAAACTATTAATTGTATTCCCTAAGACTTTTCCCTTGGGAACAGCTAACCAGCTTCCCAACGTTACCATACATACTTTGATAGTAGTGAGCTGTTCCGGTAGCCCCTGGAAATCCTTCGGTGCCCTGTGTGAAAAATGGGTGGCTCTGGTTTCCTGACACAACTCTGTTTCTCATAATTCCTTTCAGCTTTTCAGACTTTTCTTGCAGTCTAAAGTCTAAGTGGCCTTCATCATGTCAGCCCTGAATTGCTGCTGTTTGAGCATTTTCAAAACTGTTGCATTTCCTGCTGCAACGTCCTAACCAGGTTCCAGGGCGCAGCCCTTCCAGCCCTTGTTAGAGCACTAGAGTTGGTTGCTTCTCTATTTTCTGTCAAATTTTTGTTGAATTTGTGTGGATTCCTCCTCCGTTGTTGCTCCTTAATGCAAACTTTAGGTATCATTTCTGATGATAGCTCTTCCTAGAGTGCTAAAAGTTTGTAAAGAAACTGGCTGCCTTTTTAATCCATGTGAAGACCTCTGTCCTCTGAGCTTGTCATCTTCCAAAGAGGCTTCGGTGAGTCTAGAAGTTCACTTTTTAGCGTTGCAAGCTTAACGTATATAAGTCTTTTGAAGGACTTCTGTAAGAACACTGTTGTTTTGGAGTGTTGAGGGAAGGTTATCCAGTAGCTGTTGGAACTTTGCTCTTCTAAATTGTCGGCAAGTGTGCAAGCAGAAGGCTACGTCTAATTCTGTTTCCAGGTCACTGGAATTTTGGGGACAGAAAAGAAGGATTCTCCTTCAAATTGTATGGTAGTTTCTTGCATTGGAGAGAAACTTGGAGAAGGCGAAAGGGTGACATTGATGCTCTACAACTGAATCTTTGTGTTAAGTATTCCCTATGAACAGTTATAATTGGCTTTTATGGATTCAGGGGAATAGCTAATCTGAATTACTCTAAAATTGGATGGCTTTTGTTTTTAGTTTTTATGTATCGTGCTCTCATTGGTATAGTGCTCTTCATGGGCATTCACAGTAGCTACAGTTCATGTGAAGTGTTGTTATAGATTTACAGCCTTTTGAACAGTCACTTGATAACTTGTAAAATTCCCTTAATTGTCTGTCTGACTTCTGTTAYCTGTTAGTTTTTGACCTTTGATTGTGCAGCTACCCCTGTGAAATAAGGTGGCAATCTTCACTTGTACATATCTCGGGACACTGCCTTGTTGACAGAAAGTGATAGAAGGCAGGACTGTATTACAGTAAAATACAAACTTGCCATGAAATTGGTCATGGCACCAAGCTGAATTAGAATTCCCTATGAACTAGATCCTATGAACATCCCTATGAATTAGAATTCAGCTTGGTGCTGATGAAGGCCTGTGTTTACCTTGCACAGCAAAATAAGATTTTCAGTTTATTTTTCTGGGTGATCTTTTGGGGGATAGCGAGGTGAATGCCCGTTAATGAAGATTGTTTGGGGAAGAAGAGCTCTGCAAGCAATGAACTCTCCCTGCATCTTTTGTTGGTGTTAAACTGCAGACATCTTACTCTTAGATCTGAGAACTGTGGAATATTTCTACTTGCTTGTTTCATAGCAAAATGTGGACACAGTAACTGAAATCTTGCTGAGTGCAGGGACAAGCTTCAAGAAAACAGCTCAAATATAGCAGAGAACTATTAAAAGATGCCCGTCTTTGTCCTTTCCCAGTCGTCTTCCCTGCAAGTCATTGGGTAACTTCACTCAACAGGCTAGTATGGGATGCCCATCACCACTGTGGTGTGAATGGAGGAAAATGGCTTTAATATTTCATGTCACTTCAAGAGACTCGTAAGAATTATCAATATTGGGAAAATCATATAATTTCTTTTAATTATTCTTAAGCACAATTCTACAAAACAAAAGCTAGATTTTTTTTATGTCTAATATATATAATAATATTAATGTTGCTAATAATATATATAGTATCGGTAGTTCTTTGTCTACCATCTTTCCTGAGAATGAAGAAGCTGGGCAGGCAATCTGGCCCTTCCAGCTCTTGCATATCGCACTTCACTTGCCTTCCCTACCCTCGAGGAGGCAATATGCTTTTGTTGGAACAGAGCGACTGACCTAGAAAGGGAGGATACGCTGTATACATTGTTCCAAAATGCACAGTTTAAAAAAAAAAAAAACAAAAAATGTTTAAAGAAAATGAAACCCAAAGCCATTTGACTTCCCCTTAATCCCAGGAGAACAGCTTGAGCAGGAAGCAGAGTCTGCAAATGTGTTTGGGAGTCTGTTGTGTTTTGTCTGAAAGCTCCTTGATGGCAGAACATAAAGGAAATATTTTCCCACTCATTTATGGGGACACTAARTATAACATCCTTGCGAAGACTTCTCTACCCCTTGTTCTGTAATTGCTATTAAATAATGTGATAATTGTGAGTCTGCTTATTCATAGATAAGTCTAGTCTCTCTCACTTAGAACTTCTTAATTAGTTAAAGTCTTGATAGATGCTGCTTGCATWAGGCTTTGGAGAGGTTCTTGGAAAGGGCTACAATACAGGAAGGAAAGCAGAGGCATCTTACGAAACTATTTTGTAGGCCAAGGAATGCCTAATATTTAAAGATATTATAGTCTGTTTCCTTTTCATCACCTGATGCTTTTCAGGCAAATGCGTAGCTCATTTTGGAACCCCAAGTTCTGAAAAGCAGTGAACCAGGAGAATGTGTTGCTTCTTGCTTAGAGAAGCTTCTCAGTGTGTTGCAGATACAAAATTCCCTTT